TATGGCATGTCCTGCTAAAAAAATAACAGCTTCCCTTTGCTTGTTGATAAAAGTTCAAAACTTGGGGCAGCCGGTTGGTTAGAGTGTGTGCTCTGCACAATAAGTTGCCAGTTCGATTCTTGCATAGGATGGTGAGCTGCACTCCCAGCAACTAGACTGAAAACAGCAACTGGACTTGGAGCTGAGCTGTGCCCTCCACAACTAGACTGAAGGACAACAACTTGACTTGGTGTTGATGGGTCCTGGAAAAAACACACTGTTACCCAATAAAAATTTTAAAATTCAAAACTTCTAGCTTAGCATTCACAGACCTCTAGAACCTGGCTCCATCTATTGTGTATATCACCACTTCAGTTTCAAGCCTCCTGATCCCGCCCTTACCTTGCCCACACTATGTCCCCCAGTTCTACCTCTGTCTACATGAATCCCACTGACTTTTCCAAGCTCACCAGAAGTCTCACATTGTCTATAAATTAGCCTGAAGATACTCCAGAAAAATCTCTCATACAGATGTTGCTAGCACTAATATTTTGTGCTCATCAGTCAACACACATTATCTCAAATTTTACTTCTTTAGCAAAAAAAAAAAAGCATCATATAAACGATGAAAATATCTAGCACACTCAGACACTTAATGAATGGTTGTACATTTGCTAGTGAAGTAGACTAAGATAATCCTAGTTTTGAAAAATCAAATCTGAGGAAAAAAATGAGTAGAATTCAACATGAAAGAGAAGAATCTAGCCCCTTTATAGATATACCATTCTCATTAATATAAATCACATGATGGTGTATGTAATTATAAATAGAGGAATACTTATTTGAAAACCAGCTGTGTCCAAGAGAGAAGCACAAAAAGTGTTCTGGGGCCCAGAGATGTATATTATTTTGAGACAGAAATTTTCATTGACTCAGAAACTAATTTTCTTTCTCTGATTTTAATGAAATAAGAAACACTTATGATTAATAATTTAGTTTTTTAGCTATCTCTGAGGTATATGTACTCTTCAGCATAAATTAGTGAATTCATCTTTTGGTTTATAATCAATATCTTTTTACTTTGGTTAAGAATCTGTTCCCTAGAGCCCAATCAATTCAGCTCAATTCCATAAACATTTATGGAGTGTTTACTAAGTTCCAGGCCTCTCTTAGATAAAAAAATGACACAGTCAATGACATTTGGGAGCTCCAAAGCAAACTAGAGAAGACAGACAAATAAGTAACTGGTTTAAACTCATATGGTGAGTATAAAATTGAAGCTATGTACAAAATCTTATGAAAGAACAAAGGAACAAAGACAGCTTCACATGATATACAAGCAGAGATTTAAAGAAGAAACGGCAGTTGGACCAGGAAACCAGGACAGGGTAGGAAGACATTATATTATAGGTAAAGTGAGCAGAAGAAAAAAACTACAAACATGAAAAAGCAAAATGTGACTGGTATATAGGCTATATAGGCATGGTTGTTATATAAAGAAGCAGGGAAGGAGGGAGGCAACGATGAGTTACAAAAATCTAGAAAAGCAGGTATGAATTTAATGGGATACATGATATGGGATACAAGCCATGATAAAGAGCTAAATTTTTTTCCCTGTAGGAAATAGGGAGGCTTTGAAGCATTGTAGCAGTGGCATGCCAAGATAAGTGTTAAATGGTGACTATTAAATTCACTTACCTATATATTTATTGAGGGCCTGCTATGTTCCAGGCTTTATACCTCAGCAATTAAAAAAAGAAAACTTTTGTTTGCTTGAGGTGTAGTGAGTAAATCTCACTATGTTCAATAAGCAAGATTTAAAAATATTAGCACAGAAAAGCGCAGCCAGTGGTAAAACTTTATATCATTAATATTCACTATTAAACTACCTCTGCCATCTTTATTATCTGAAATATCCAGAATAGGCAAATCTATGGAGATGAAAAGTAGATTAACCGTTGCCTAGAGCTGGGAGGAGGTGGGAGGTTGCGGGGTGTGTGGGGGGTGACAGCTAAAGGGAACAAAGTTTCTTTTCTGGGTAACGAAAATGTTCTAAACATGATAATGGTGATGGCTGCCCAGCTCCGTGAATTCACTAAAAGGCATTGAATTGTACACTTTAAATGGTGACTTGAATGGTATGTGAATGATATCTCAATAAAGTTGTTTTAAAAAATCTAATCTTTAATGCTATCTTCAAAATCTTTATTCCCCTTCCCTCATGAAACCAGATGACAGCCTTCCCAGCACAGAACGGATTATAACACTAGAGCCAGTGCTAGGAACATACCAACTCTTTTCAATCTTCTACTGGCAAGTCTTTCTTGCTGGGAAAACTAATCTTCCAGTTCAGCAGAAAACAATTTATTTCTATGACATCCAAACAATAAGAGAACAGAAATTTGACCCGTCTGGCACAAAAGGTGAGTTAGTCTTTCAACAACATCAAAATCTAAGTAGTTTTCCTGTCTGATTAATCAGTTTCATCTTCTGTATGTCTTAATCTGATTGCTACTGTAAAAATGACCAACAATTATTTTTTACATATAATTGCTGACAAAACTCAAGTTAATGAAATGCTAAGGTACCACTTCAACCTGTGTTTGCTTATAGCCACACTTCTGTTAACCTAGGAGTCAGATGAGGTAAACTTACTGCTAAATGCTAAATAATAAAAGAGAATAACACAAAGAAAATCCCCCTGTATACATAACTAAATGTGTATTCTTGTATTCTGGCAAACAATAAATAGGTTAAAGTGATCTGGTATGTTAATGCACTGGTCTGAATGCCAGCCCAAGTTAGTTTTTCCACCCTCTTACTTTATTGTTTCACCCCTGGGTTCTCCAGTATTGTGGTAACAATTCACACAGGTATACTCTTTGGCTTTACTGCAAATACATAGCTCCAACTTCAGCTGGGATCCCATGACTATTTGCAAAATTATTTCTGTCTGTAGGCTTTTCCTTTCTATACTTTCTACAGCAGCTATAAGCATTTAACTTTTTTTTTTCCTCTAGGCCTCTGTCTATTGACTCCAAGCCCCATCTTTACCGATAAAAAAAACAGAGGCCATAGGATGTGTTCCCTGAACCTCTGTTATAACTATACCTATAGAGCGCCATCCTTTATTCATTCATCAGAATAGTAAATAGTAATGTTATTCATCATTTATTGAGCATTTGCCATGTGCCAAGCATTGGGCTGAGTACTTTACATATAATAATTAATTCAGATCCCACAACAATCTTACAAGATAATGATTTTTGGTCCCATTTTTAACAATGACAAAGCGAAGCTCAGGGGAGCTAAGTACCTTGCCCAAGGTGCATGGCCAGTGAGTGGTAGGAAACAAACGTGAATCCAGGGCTGTCTGTAACGATGTCACCCTGCTTCTGAAAAGTGTTTTCACTCCTGTCCCAAGGCCTCCACTTCTACACAGGGACACCACATTCATAAATTATTTTCACTACTGTATGATCTTTCTCTCTTTCCTAACCAGTACTGAGAAAAGAGATCTAAATTGCTATACTTAAGTCAAACACATGGCTTATGCACTTTACATTTCCACTTAAAAACAGATTTTTAATAAAAGTATATACATATATATACTTTTATTAAAAATATATTTATATATATATATATATATATATATATATCTGTATTAGTTACATTAATAATTTTTTAAAGAAAATGCAAATAGATGATTCAGGTCTTCTTAAAGACATGGGGTTGAAAGATTAATTGACTTCCATTGAGCTTCCAAGAAAGACTCAAAATATTAGGTTATGCTCATAACCGTTCTCACCTCCTTTCTGTTCATCTACAGAATGGGAAAAAAAGATGGAATTTCCTGCTTCTTCATTTTTCCAGTAATTTCTCACTTTGGCAGAAGTTTATTCCTTCAAAGGTAAACGCAGTTGAGCAACACTGGCAGACAGAGCTAATACTTCTTAAGAATTGTGTCCTCTCTTTAATGATCCTAACAAATGGAGGTCCTAATTGGCTTCAATGAGTTTTCTCACGTGCCTTTTAATAAGACTTCTAAGTCTTTAACGGCTCATCTTAAGCCATATGAGTTATTGTGTGCTTACACAAAAGTTTACTGCCCTACATCCAGGCTACATTGAACTCTTTTTCTTAAGCTGTTAAGAATTAACTGCAAAACAGTCATCACCATGCAAGTAAGCAATACTAAAGTCTGTCTTGTTCAATATTTTATCCCAAAGACCTATATATAGTAGATGCTCAATAAACATTTGTTGTAATAAATGGTAGCAAGAAAATGAGTTAGAGAACACTGTGTGACCTGTTGTGCCTTTTAATAAAATCTCCATGGGACAGTTACGTGAATCTGTTGTTTTGAATACTATAAACTATGATATCAAAATCCAGAGCCCCTATCTTTAAGCTTTAACATAGTTTGATTTTATAATATTCAGTTTGAAAATATTTTAAAGCCGTTTTAAAAACATTATCATCTCTTTTGATTCAAAATAAGCCAAAGAGTGACCAAGAAGTAATTTATGTATTTTAAATTTACATATATAACATCTTTTTATACAGTATAGCTAAGTCTATATCTCTAAAGACTGGGTTTTCTTTGACATCACTATGTAGCTGCCTAAACCCAAAAAATGTTAGTTTTATCTGCAGTTCATATCAATCACTGATACAATTCAAGAATTCCATGCATATTTATTACTGCATTCACTTTTCAAATAAACATTGCAAAATATTACACACAGTGTGAGAAATGTCACCTAAATGCTAAAAAAAACCCACAAAAAAAACAAAACAAAAAATCCCCTGCAAATATCAATTTTCAATGGTAGGTTACTTGTCTATCATTAAAATAAATGTCAACTTCTTGTCCACTTTCAATTTTGCTGAATGCCACCCACTTATAAATGAGCTATGATTCAAAATACCCAGTTATACTTTTCTATCATTTCTCAATTTTCATCCCATCCCTAAAATCATGTTTACTTGAAAATTAAAGGTAAGAACTATTTACAGACCTCCATCCATCCTTTTGCAGATAACTGAAGGCTCCGTCAACAACACTTGCAAAGAACTGCCCTCCTGTGATGAAGAGGGTGTTAATGGTGACTAATCGACCTCTTAAATTGGGTGGTGAGACCTCTGCGATGTACACTGGCACTGTCATAGAAGCAATGCCTGACAACAAACAATGAAAAAGCAAACATAAGACACTGATTCAAGATTTGTTGTTATAAATATTAGCATTAGATTAAAAGACACACACACACACACACACACACACACACACACACACACACACGGCTTAGTTTTCTACTTTAAATAAAAGTTTACCAATACTTAAAGAATTTGTTTATAACTAGTGACTACTGCAGGTAAGTAAGAGATGTATGTGAGACACCAATTTTTAGTATCATTTTTCATATTATCACTTTATCATTTTTCACATTATCAAGCCTACCAAAGAAGTACCTCTAGAGATTTCATGTGACTTTAGAAGCCATATAAGCATGCTTTATAACTTTTTGAGGACTAAAAATAGGAAAAATGCTCTCTATGTAGAATATAATTATTAAAATAATTTTAGTCTATATAGCAATGTAATTAAGATGATGAAAATAAAAAATTATCCCAGAATATCTATTAACTATTCAAAGTCAGCACTTCCAGTAGACACACCAAAACTCTTAATTCATATACTAATAAGAAATCCATGCATTAAATCACTTTATTCAATTGGCTAGCTGTACATTTCAGAAATAGCTCACAATGGACAGTCCTTTGGGAAATTTACTGTTTTCGAAAGCAGAAGATCTTGACCATAAAGTAGATGATTTTATGGCTAAGGTGCATTTGGTTATACCTACTTTAAATTTTTTTATCTAAAATCAGCAGCATAATCTATGGTAGCAGTTCTCAAGCTCCACTAATCACTAGAACCACTTATGTGTATTTGTTTGTTTTTTTAATAAAGATGCCCTCACCTCACGCAACCCAGGCTTAACTAGAAAACTACAGAGTTGGGAAATGGGACTGTCTTTTAAAAATCCTCCAGGTGATCCTATATAAAACTATAATTCTATGGTACACAACTCTGAGCCAACCCAAAATTATTTCTTTAAGTAAAACTTGGCCCTGCTGACCAGGTCTATCTCGCTTCTAATTTTTAACCTAAAACTAATATCTAATCATTACTTACAAATAGCTCAGTGAAAAAAATTAAGCAGGGTTACCTAAGAAAATTGAATATTTTTATATCTGTAGATACTCTAAATTGATCTCTAGATTAAACCAGAACATCAATGGATTGTATAATAGATCCACATAGAATTGCTTTCAATGAATTGATCTATTCGATGCCAAAGAGTACGATGCCTGGATTGAAGGTAGTAACACTAAGAAACCTATTGCTGTGTTTTCTGGACAAGGTCTTGAAGGTACTATTTATCTCATTCAGGACAACAAGAGGCATTTCTCTCTAGCTTCAGTAACTGCACTAGTTGTGCTTCTCTCTAACAGATTTGTGTTTGTTTATTGGTACTATAAATCACACATCTGTCTTTTATTTCCCTCTCTAGGTAGGAAGAGAGGCCTACCTCTACCAAGTGTTTAAGACTTCACAGTATTTATGCTGTGAACTAAACTCCCTCCTGAAGCCACAGTCATCTCCAATTTCAGCTATTTTAAATATATTGTTGCTATCTTTTTATCTGCTTTGTTCTATCTTTGAGCAAAGCAGATAAATACATGGACAGATAGATAAGATTTATTTAAGTCTTAATAATATACATATCTGCTTCTGGAACATTCACATTATTGTTGTATAACTACTGCTAAGTAGGTAAGTTTGCACACAAGTCAGACCAATAAGTCTCGGAACTATAACTCTGTAGTTTTCGCCAATGTTGTATAGTGCCTGTCCCTATGTGGTGATGATGAAAAGTATATTGTGATTTTACGAGTTTCATAAAATCATAAGTATGTGTTAGTAGACAAAGTACAAATAGTCTACAATCAAATCATCACCTAAACAGCTGGAAATTTCCATCTGATTGCTAATCAGTTTACTAGCACAGACGACCCTAAATTGGCCTTCATCTAACTTGGGAAGAGGAAGCATTTGCAGCAAACGTTGACAAGTTATGTGTATGTTCTTTTTAGTTCTTTTACGATTAAATTTTGAAAACCAAACAACAGTAACTGATTATTTGGATTTCTTTTTCTGCTTTGGTCTGACTATAAAGAGGAATTCAGTTCCTCTCTTTAGCCAGAGAGCTTATTCAGCCGGCTAGCCCACAGATTTGAGCATGTGAACCGTGGTTTTAGGCAGCACATACATGCTCACCGCAAAGCCCACAGATTTTTACTTGACAGGAAATGCAGAGATGTCCCCAGGCCCTTATAAAGCTTGATCATTAAAAACAAAAATTAGGACACTAAAAAGTAACAGATAATAGATAAACGGAAAAGATCAAAGAACTATAAAAAGACTCACTTGGATTTAGAGTTGGAAAGATCTCCAAAAGATCTGTCCAGTGAGTGCTAGCATTGACTTAACACTGTTACAACTGCTTACATTCTATTAGCTAGTTCACAGAAACTGATTATTTTGCTTAATCCTCAGAACATCCCTGTAAAGGAAATATAATTATTCCAATTTTGCAGAGAAGGACCTTAACCTGGGTCTCATGATGAGTAAGTAGTAGAAGAACCAGAATTTGAACCAGACAGCAAGAATCTAGAACCCAATTTTGAAAGCACTAGACTATAATGACTGACCCCCACAGGTGAGGGCAGGCTCTGGGTTTAAATTCCATCCTCGCCACATCCCAGCTGATCAAGTCTGGACAATTTAACCTTTCTGAGTCTCCAGTTCCTCATTTATATTATAGAAAGAACAAAAGTAACTCTTTTATAGGAAATGGGAAGATTCAATAAGTTAATAGAATAAAGCACTTAAAATTTGTGCCTAACATACAGAAAGTAGTAATAATATCACAAGTATTTCTATTATTATTATATCTCTGATTATGGGACTTTTCCGATTCAGTTTGAACTGTGTTAGGTGCTGGGATTATCAGGATGAGTATAATAAAATAGGGTCCCTTCCCTAAAGGAAGCCACACATAAGCCCTAATCACAAAATCATGCAACCAAAATTTTCAAAATAACATAGTAAGGGTCACAGTACAGCTATCCACTGAGCCCCATTTTTTTTTTTTAGCTGAGCCATCCTGCCACCTGTTGGCAGCTCAGCGGCTGCTCAGCCTGGGCCGGGACTCGACTGCTGTTGCTCAGAGCTCAAACTCTTGAGCGAGCTCTTAACCAACTGAGCCACTCAGCTAGCCCTGAGCCCCATCTTTTGATGCTGACAATATTAGGTGGTAGCGAGGAAAGGCAGCTGCAGACATTCTGCAGGGTAGAGCATGAGCTCAAGAAAATATGAAATGACACAGTATTTTCTCAGAGGTCACACAGAAAGTGGGAGGCAGACTGTGTATAGAGAGGGGGTAGGAGGGGCAGACAGAGCACAAATCATGGAAGCAGAATCTATTTATCAGCGAGCGTTCATGAAATACTTGATCTGAGCTGGGCACCGTACTAAGCACTGGGGATAGGGTGCTACAGGAGAAAACCATGTCGTCTACCTCACGGAGCTTAGGGTCGGCTGAGCCAAATGTGTTTGAACAAGCAATTAATGTCCACGATGATGGGTCTCACCAAAGAGAAGTGTGGGGACCATAAGCCTATGGCAAAGGCGCTGGATGGGGTGTCAGAAAGTCTTGGATGAGGTCATATTTAAGCCAAGATCAGGCGAATGAGTAAGCGAAGGCTAGATGGGGGTGTGGGGGTGTGGAAGGTAAGAGATACTTTAGACAGTGAAACCAGCTTCGACAAAGGCCTAGAGTCAGGAAGAAATGCATCATGTTAAGGAGCACCATTTCTAGAGACGTGGGCAGAGACCACCCAGGCTACATGGAATCTCAGAAGCTCTATGAAGGGTTTGGTTACTCAGAAACCTTGGACTAGTTTAAAGGAAGAAAAGTCACGGTCAGATTCATGTTTTTAAAGGATCCTGCCGGTTAGCGTCTGGAAAACGCGCTGCAGGAGAGCGATGAATACAGCGGCAGCGTTGAAAACGGAGTAAAGAGGAGAGACCTGCGATCACGTGTTTTATATCCAGGCCAAGAGAGAATGTGGACAACACAAGAAGGATCAGGAGTGGAAGAATTCGAGGATGACGTTCAGAAGAAGCAACGAGGAACCAGATGTATACTTTGTACAAAGGTCAGAAACACTGGAGAAGTAGTAACTTTGGGGGGACCACAATAAGGTCAACTTTAGGCAGGTTGAGTAAGAGGTGCTCTGTGAGATATACAAGTAGACAGCAAGAAGCCCACTCTGCAAGTGTGCTGGGAATACAGATTACTTATATGTGACTATTCCCAGCCTCCTCCTCTTCTACCCAGTAAGAGTCTTTGCCAAAATAACTAACTTCTCCTTCCTTCTCATCCTTAAGGGAAAATCTGGTCTTTGTCAGCCTGGTTCTTGAGCTATTTTCATTTAAAAAAAAACAAATGGAGAGAGAAAAAAAAAAAAACACGGATCAAAGATCTCGTTTGTCAGGAAAAGTTCAAATGAAAAAAAACTGGGCAGAATTGTGAGTGAGAAGCTCAGGGTCAGTATGGGAAAAAAAGGGACCCTATAACAAAGGGACTGACTGAGGCTTGGCGGGAGCGTGAGAGGTAACCAATTTTAAAAAATATTGCTGAGATATAATGTACATGCTATTAGATTCTTTAGACACAAGAGTAGTATTACTTTTTCTTTCTATTTTCTTTTTCCGTTTTTTTTTTTTTTTTTTAGTTTCAGGTGTACAACACAGTGCAAATGTTATACTTTTTACCCCTCAAAGTGACAACTCCCCTCCCCCAATCTGTCACCCCATTCCCCCCCCTCCGATATCATACATTATCTATTACAATTCCATTGACTCCACTCCCACACTATACTCCATGTCCCATGACTATACAAATATATACATATATATATTCAATTATAGTTGACATACAATATTATACAACATCAGCTTCAAGTGTACAGTGCAGTGATCAAGCCTCTACCCCGTCCATGAAGTGGTCTCCCTAACAAGACATGTGACCAACTGACACCCTACAA